ATATATATATTTATTCACTGAAATTGTGTCTTACGGCCTTAAGTGATATAAAACTCCTTAAGCAAATGACATACACAATATGTAATTTGTAGTTATGGTGGTTATAATGAAACCTCCCAGAGATTTAATGAAATGAAACCAGGTTTGAATTGTTCAATTTGGTGATGCTTTTAAAAATGCTGTCATTGCTCCCACAAGTCTCATTGAAGATATACTTTTCTTTTTCCATGGAGTATTCATAGCAAACGTCACATTCTCCCTATCATACATCACTGTGTAATAAACCACTCTGAAATTAGTGGCTAAAAACAGCAGCAAGTGTTTCCTTTGCACCAAATCTGCAGATCGACAGAGGCTTCTGAGGACGCTTAGTCTGGCTCACACAGACTTAGCTAGCTCCAGGCAGCTGGTGATCAGGTGGCTGGGGCTGGAGTCTGCTAGGCTTGCTGCCATCTGATTGCTCATGCAGAGCTTTCTGCCCAAGGACCTAACCAATGCTGATGGCATCCTCACCGCAAAGAAGCTAGGTTCCAGCTAAGTGAGACCCCAAGTAAAAGGCCGGACAGAAGCTGAAGAACCCACTTGTTATTTAAATTTTGTCTTAAAATCATTGTAACTCACCCTTATTTGAAAAGAAAGATTCCATGTATTTCCTTTCTCCTTACTATCAAATTATAGATATCAGATGGCTACAAACGGTAATATGCATTATTACTGAAATCGACACAATTAAAATACAGAAGTTGCTCCATGATTTTTAATGGTCCATCCTTGTGTTATACATTGTACATTTTATGTTTTGCACACATTAAGGCACAGATCCCTCATGCTGTACTTCTTCCATTTTGCACTGTTCCAATCATGCCCACCTCTTTTCCCACTGTCACCCTGTCGGTGACTGTCACCAGCACACTCTCCATGTGTATGATTTTGTGATTTGAAAAATATTTTATTATTTGAACATTGTGTGTGTGTGTGTGTGTGTGTGTGTGTGTGTGTGTGTGTGTGTGTGTGTGTGTGTGAATGCAGGTGCTCAAAAGTCTAGGGAGACAACTGATCCCCGGAAGCTGGAGTTATGGACAGTTGTGAGCCACACAGGTGATGGAAACTGAACTCAGGTCCTCTGAAAGGGCAGCAACTACTGTTAGCCTCTGAGTCATCTCTCTAACCTCTGGTTTTGTGTTTTGTTTTGTTTTGAAAGAACGCTATGTAAATAGAAACTTGAGTGCCTAATCTTTGAGGGGTTTGGTTTTCACACTAAGCTCAGTTCTCTAAAGATTTGAGTTATGCTTATCAGTCATGTGCCTTTTTATTGCTGAATACTGCTCAATGGTGCCACTATGTCAGGTTATTTTTCTGTTTACTCATGCAAGAAATTGTGAATTATTTCTAGTTTGGGCTATTCTGAATAAAACTTCTATGAACATTCTCATACAGGATTTTGAGTGCACATTAAGATCCATTTCTGTGTGGTAAATATTCAGGATTATAATTCACAAGATAAAAAGGTAGTTATACTGTTCACCTATATTATAACACTGTCAGTTTTCCATTTTGTATTTCCTCTTGACAACATATTTACCATGTCTCTACATGCTCACAAGTATCATTTAGCACCAGTGTGTTTTGTTTTAGCCTTTGTGATAGGTGTGTAACTTCTGCAACCCCACCCCATGTGTGTTTAAAAGTTGGGATGTTTAAAAGCTCCCTGTGTGACTATTTGCTATCTGTATGTTTTCTCTGATGAAATGTCTGTTCATGATTTAGGCTCTTTTTTTGTTTGCCTTTTACTGTTAAAGTCCTAGAGCTTTAGAAAATATTCCAAATTAAAAAAAAACTCAGATAGGTGGCTTGAAAATACTTATCAAACTGTAACTTGCCTTCCACATTCTTTATGGAGTCTTTCCCAAAGTGGAAAGTATTACTTAGATTTTCAGCACTGTGCTGAATACAGAGCTGATAATGGGCATTTTTGCCTTGTTCTTAATTTTACAGAGGCAGCAACTGGTGTTTCATCATTAAGAATTATAGTAGCTATGGGTGTTTCTTTTAGATTCTTTATATCAAACTGGAGGTTGTTTCCTCTAGTCTGAGGGTTTAAAGACCATGAACAGGTACTGAGTTTATGACATGTGTTTTTCTTTGATATGATGTCTTTCCAAATAATGAAGTGTAGATTTGCTTCTCTAGAATAAAATCTATTTAGTCTCAGTGTGTGATTTAAAAATATTACTGAGTTCTGTTTAATATTTTACTAAGGAGTTGGGGGGGGCATGTATTTATGAAAGACACTTGTCTGGATTTTTTATTTCATTTCTTTTTTCTTCTTTGTATTGTCTTTGTATGTGTTTTGGGATCCAGGTAATATGAGCTTCAAAACATAAGTTGGGAAGTCTATGATCTTCTAATTTGTGGGAGAGCAATATGAATTCTTCTCTAAAATATCCAGATGTGGATATTTCTTTCTTTTCCTTCTCTCTTTCTTTTTTGGTTTTTTGAGACAGGGTTTCTCTGTATTGCTTTGGAGGCTGTCCTGGAACT